TCCATGTTCGGACCATGAAAGCCCTCTCCTAAGATTTTAGATGGTGTCAGAGCCCAATGCCGACTAGCACATTTGGCTCTCTAGCACCTTTCACTGGAGGGAGATTTCTATATAACACCCAGGAGGTGCTTAATGCTGTAATTGGGGACAGGAGTTTATACTATATTTGCTGAGCGAGCTGGATTACTAGATACGTACTAATGCAGTGTCTTGGGAAACACAATGAGGACCTTGAGCAACATATTAGGGTATACCCGTGGCTGTTGTTTATTATGCCCTTGTGACTTGATTTTTATCTTAAATCGTCTGATGTCCCTTCGGGAAAAATGACTCCAGGATTATGCCCCTCTTTCATATTCATAATTCCTGACCATAAAGAGGTAAAAAAATAAACACAAACTGGACTTTCATATTTAGACATGAGCAGATATGTCTTCAACTTATCCATCACCATCTAAAACTCATCAACTTGGCACCGAGCTAAGCAATTTGAGCCCTAGTGCTCATTTTCAAAAGCCCAATGCTCTCTGGCATGAAAGGGCTTAATAGATATGGTGTGAGCAAGTGATGAACGAATGAGTTCTTGAAAAAGCTCCATGGAAAGTTCTCTGATTGTGTTTGTAGGAAGAGTGCGTACAACAGCACCTGGAAAGTTGCTTTAAAATTATAAAATCAATATACAGTTGGTGAGATCTTTCCTGTATGTGAAGAAGTTTCCTTAGAAACCAAACATCTCCCCCAGGAGAAAATAGACAGAAAGGAAGAAGATGAAAGCCAACTAACTCATGATGCTAATGTTTCCAGAAGAGCCGTTCAGTCTGAGTAACTATATATGGGCATGTGATATAGGAGAAAGGGAAAATGGAGAGAATCATCCTGAAACACAGGAAAATGGAAAAGCAAATTCAAGTGGCGTAGGTTGGCAAGAGATGTTTTTATGACAAGTAGATAATGAGAGCCATCCTCAGAGATTTGACACCTATGCCCAGGAGGCCTCAACCTTCTCATAGAAAGAGGAAGCCAGCCTCTTGCTGGTCAAAGCTTGATAAAACTAATGTTCCTAGCTGGAAGTAATGGTGATGCCTATAGCTCTCTGGGAGGCTGTTGCAGGAGGACCACAAGTTCAAATCCAGCCCAAGCAACTTAGCAGCTTAGTGAGACCCTGTCTCACAATTAAAAATGTTAAAAAGGGGCTGGGGATATAGCTCAGTGTAAAAGCTCTGGGTTCAATCCCCAATCAGTACTGTAAAAAAAAAGAAAGAAGAAAACTAATGTTCTTCTCTCCATCAGAGATCAAGAGACTACTTCCTCACTACACATTGTCTATCCATGCACTTTGTCCTACAGAAAGGGAAAATAGTGCTAGACTGATATGAATGTTCTGTGAGGTAATTGTGTGTTTCATGATGCATTGGCAAATTTACATATTAGACCCAAGTGAGTCTGATAGAGCACAGTAGCTGTGTCTCCTTGGGTATAATCAGTGGCAACAGTTAATTACAGTGGTGTCAAAAATTGTACTTTTAGCAGCATGAATATTTAGTAAACTTTCCAAGTGCTATCTTTTTATGGTAGATTTTTTTTATAGGTGAGGGACTAGAAAAGGATTACTATTCTTCTATGTCGTTTTGGGAAGGTTTATGTGAATGGGTATGCACATGTGCATGTGTGTGTATTTGCTTTTTCGTGTGCATGTGCTTGTGGGTGTGTTTGCAAGCAAAGGACAGAGGAAGATAATCCTTAAACTATAGGCTGAGTATAAGCATACAGAAATGTCTCCAACAGAAGTACTGAGTGTATATATTGAACAAATATATAAATTACAAAGTCTTTCATGTAAAAAGAATCCTGACTTAGTTTGTTGGTTACTTAATCAATTTTTTGGAATAGTTGGGTGATTTATAACTGAATTGGAAGTGTTTTCTGTCTACATAATTGGAACATTTTTGATCTGTGTGACTTAGCACTATACAGATTATGTTTGACCTTTAAATCTTCCTTCAGATGGAAATAACAATAACTATAACACTTGATGCTTTAAAAGTGCTCTTATCTGTCTTGTTTGATCTTCACATCACCTTATGAAGCAAAGTTACCACTGTCAACAAAGGAAGGGACAGAATGGTGTGTGACATGGTCCCAGAACAAAGATGTGACTTCACGTCTCCAAGTTCCTGAGTCTCCAGTCTTATCTGCAGGGCAAGTGGAATGCCACAGGCCCACACGCACCTGCCCTTGGCTACTCCACCCTTGCTCCACCCTTCGCTGCATCTCACCTGGGTAGAGCAGAGGGCATACAGGTTGACAGGAGCATCCTCATGGCTATTATCCCAGCACTTCTGGGCCCTGACAAGGCTGGCAGTCCAGAGGGTTGGGAGCAGAGCCCAGCGAGGCTGCAGCCAAGCCATCTCTAGGGCAGGTGTCTGTGTGCTGAAAGCCAGCAGGAAAGTGGAAACACATTCCACAGCAAAGAGGTAATGGAAAGAGAGCAGGAAGAGGGGCAGCCCGTGAGGAACAAGCAGGCCCTGTGTGGACATCAGCAGGGCTTTCCTCTGAGTTCAGAGTGTAGGACTTTGGAAAAGTCCTGTGTCTCAGTGGTCAGTCCAGACCACTGTAGGGATGAGAAAAACAAGGGTGGGTAAGAGGGGAAGGGGAGGGAGGGTAGAGGGGGGAGGAGGCTGTCACACTCCTGAGCCTGGCTGCATGCAGATCTGGAGCAGGGGCCGCCTCTCTTTGTACCCAGTCATCCCTGACCTGAGCAGCTGCCTTTTCCTGCCAAGGCAGCCCCTGCCCAGTAGGGAAGCCCATGGCTGCCAGTGGGCCAGACTGTTCCCCCGTCCAGCTGGGGTGTGGGCAGCTGCTACAATGAATCTCTTCTATGGAAGAGCTGATATGAATGGAATCAATCTGAACATCCAACATTTGCCCATCTGTGACCAAAAGAAGGTCACAAGGTGACTTTAAGTCTGGGATCCAGGATGTGTAGGTGGAAGACAGCAGTATGCTCAGAAGGTGGGCCTTGATTCTATTCAAGAACACCTTGGACCGGGGTAAAACTGGGAGGATTATGGGGTCTATGGCTTTGCAGCTTACAGTTCAGTGTCTTCCTCAAAATTTAAATGAAGGCTGCCTCCAGGATGGGATCATAGTTCCACTCAACATAATGACAGCACTCTCAGGGGGAGTCTGCTGTAGCCCCAGAGCTCTCACTGTGTTCATCCAGCCAGAGCTTTGCAGCTGAAAATCTTCCCAACCCCTGGACTTCTGCACCAGCTATCAGTGACCCATCACTGTGACCCCTGAGTGCCCTGAATGCCATGCACCAGCCAAAAGTTCCAGTGTTTCTCTTCAAGCTCCAATCTGTTGTACAATGCATGGCCTAGGCCTGAGAAAGGTCCATGGCTAGAAAAGAGAAGGACAAAAAGTTGTAGGTGGAGGCAGGCAGGGCTTTTGAAGGGCAGAGCTGACCTTCAAAAGGTGGCTCTGGACTAGAGGCAAGAGAAGCCCAGCTGGGCTGGGTTTGGGAAAAGTGTCATGCAGGAGATGCTACGGGAGCCATAAGGGGTTCAATATTCAAAAATCACTGTTGAAGGAATCTGAAGAGGATTTCTGGGTTGTAAATAAATGTCCCACAATATCATCAAGGTGAACAGACTGGAGGCTGCATTCTTCATCTGCTTCCTCTTGTGGAGGAGCATGGGACTCTGAGCAGAGACTTGTCCATATGGCCCATTCCCTAGAACTTTGGAGGTCACATCTATTGTGCTTGGAGTTGTCATGAGGAAATCCAGAGAGTAGAAACCATCTGGCTATGGTCGCCGAAAGCACCCTGGCTCCATGCTGTCACTCCCTCCCCAAAACTCACATTTGGCAAATATAACCTTCAAGAAGGGAAGGAGACAGAGAACACACTGGGAAGGTAATCAGCACCAGAATCTTGCACATGTTGGAATCCTCAGGATGGTTTCACAGGACAGAGTCTTGGCAGGTACTCACTGCATGTTACCAGGGATCTCAGCCTGGCATCCCCAGAAAGTTCTCAACAGAAGGAGGAGCATGAAAGGTGGCTGAGAAGGAGCTGAGGCTGGGGTTGAAGTTAGAAGCTAGAGAGCAAGGCCAACACCCACATTACAAAGCAGTTGTCACCTCAGAGTGGAAACACTCCACCTTCTCCCTCTTCTCTGCTGAAGAAGAAGCTAGAGTTGTAGGGACTGGATTGCCCCAATTAAAAGTCAGAGCATACAATCTGACAAAGAAGACACACTGTGAAACAAAGACTTCCCTGAATACCCAGATCCTTTCTGGGGAGAACCAACTTCAGGGACATGTGACCCACCCAGTCACACAACTTGAGTTTAGGGAAACCCAGGTATGGTTTAATGCTCTGTTGTCATCTTCAAATTATTAATAACTTCCAAACAAGAGACCTCACATTTTCATATTTGCCAAGAATCTTGCAAATTTTATAGCCAGTGCTCTTTCTAAATAAGTTTACTTGATTAGAGCTGGGGATTTAGCTCAGTGGTTCCACCACCTGCCTCGCAAGCACAAGGTGCTGAGTTCGATCCCCAGTACAAAAAAAAAATTAATGATTAATGTCTGACATAAATATCCCTTTCACTTATATCAGTTTTTCTTCTTCTTTCATAAATTAAATTATAAACCTAGGAGTCTGTCTGGTACTATTTACCACCCCTGTTATTTGCCTTGAACAGGGCTATGCATGCAGTTGGTGGCCAATGTGGTGCCCACATTCTTAGATTGTTCTTATATGGCTCTGTTTGACTATTAATTCCCTCAACATATATTTATAGTGGGGAAAAATCTGGGCCAAATTGATTATTACACTATGACCCACAAAATCCTTTAAATTAGAAGGTTAAAAACAGGTAAAATAATGGCCTTTAGTAGGAGGCTTTCATCTGGATCAGGACGGATTTTCAACCTCCATCCCTCTAAGTAAAATGATGACCTCAAGAGGAGCTGACCATGCTTTAAAGAGGAAAAGCAGGACGATGTGTACATGCATATGTCATAGCAGTGCCAACACAGGCTTTTTTCCCATTATCTGCTCTCATGGGAGCCCTGTTTGGGGCCAGGAATATTAATGCTTGGCTGCTTCCTATTTCTCTCTTGACAGGAGTGAGTAATGCTGAGGCACGACAGCCAGGAAAGTCTCCCCACTTCAGTGTGAACTGGGTTGTGGGCAATGCGGACCTGGAGATTATTAATGCCACAACCGGGAAGAGGAGCTGCGGGGGCTCATCCAGGCTCTGCAAGCACGTGTTCTCTGCCTGGTGGGCACAGCTGTATGGTAGGGTAGGTGGCACCTGTCCTTTCTGGGGAGAAACTGGCTGCAGGTGGACTCAGACTCCAGGCGTGAACAAGCTTATGGGTGTGGGCCATCATTTGGTCTGTGATGAGGGTACTGCAGCTTGCAAAATCCAGTTCCCATTGTGTTCACACATGCACACACACACACATACACACACACACACACACACCCCACTGCCCAAGCCAGTAGCATTTCCCCTGTAAACTTAAGACACTGCTACCCAAGTGCTGGGTCCCCAGACCAGCAGCATTACAGTTCAGGAAGTGTGGCTCTAAGAAATCAAGTAACAGGGCCAGGAATGTAGCTCAGTGGTGCCACTGTCTGCCTCACAAGCACAAGGTCCTGAGTTCAATCCCAGGTATCAAAAAGAAAAGAAATCAAGTAACAAAGGAGTTTATTGGTGAACACCTAATGTGTCTACACAGTGTGCCAACTACTTTACCCAAGATATCATTAGAAAGGTACACACAAAATTTTTAAGATCAATATTATTCCCAGTTTAGGTATAAGGACATTAAGGCTCAGAAAAAATTAGGTAATTTGCCTAAATTTTACAAGTAATGAATGTCAGGATTAGAATTCTCCCACAACCCTGAAACCTAACCATTTCCACAAAAATGACTTGAAACCTACTTTCTCCTCCATAAATAGGGGTAGTAATTACATTTCTGGGGCTTAAATTGAGATACACATTTCCCTGTGTTTTCAAAGCATAAAAGACTATAAACAAACAAACAAGCAAACAAAAAAGGACAGACAACTGAAAAAAAGAAAAAAACATTTGTTTATTTTTCTATACTTTTTTTAACCAGGCAATGACTCCTAGTAGAAGTAACAGTTTTCTTAATATTTCTGTCCATTTGGAGGACATTGAAACTGTACACATAGCTCTGAGCACCTGCCTCTGCCACAGCCATTGCACATGGATGTCAGTCTGTAGCCGGGCATCCTACCACCTCCATCCTGCCTGCTCTGGGACCTTTTCCCACATCTCCTTTCTTCCAAAGACCTGGCAAAGTCAAGGAAGCTTTGATTTTGTCTTGTTAAACAGAAGGAGGCACTTCCTTTCTGCAAGCTCAAGTTCTCCCCAGAAGACCCTGCCTTCGGAGCTGCCTCGCTACAGGCCTGCCTTCGTCCCTCCTGACCCCCGCCCCCCATCAAGGGAATTGAACCCATACTTGATCCTGCTTTCTGTTGGCTCCAAGTTTTGCCTGTTACAACTCAAAAGCCTGGTGGAGAATACATAATTTTTATTGTCCTCCTAATCCACTAAAATACATACCTCAAAATTCTTCCTCTTTCCTTCATGTTATGTATGATAGTACCCACGACCATCTTTGCCTCACTACCCATTTCAAGGCCCTAATCTCTTCCTCCAGAAAGAAAAACAAAATCAGTCATATGTTCATTAGTCTTTCCAACTTCTAAGGAAGCAAGACTCAGACATGACTCCTCCTCTATTCAGCCATGTTAGAACTCTCACAAAATTTTCTTAATAACTGGGTTTTCCAGGGAACCACATGATAGAACTTGGAAGCTATCACTACAGTTGCTCTTTATAAGGTTGCTCTTTTGTTTTAAAGAAAAAGCAAAGGCTGAGCCCAAGAGCTGGTGTTCTGTATGTAAAACTCCTCTGGTGGAGGCTCCTATTTCTGCTGGCACTTGATTTCCTCTCTCTCTCTCTCTCTCTCTCTCTCTCTCCTTCCTATCCACAGCTGAGCACACGGATACCAATCCACGGAGACACACCATCCATGTACTGTGAGGCCAAACTAGGGGCTCATACCTACCAGTCTGTTAAACAGCAGCTGTTTAAGGCTTTTCAGAAAGCCGGCCTGGGCACCTGGGTGAGGAAACCACCAGAGCAAGATCAGTTTCTACTAACTCTGTAAGTCATTAGACTCCTTTGCTATTGGACCACAGTGAAACACCTGGAAAGGATGGAGTCATATGTGTGGAGCAACATGGTGTCTCCATTGATTCTCAGCATTCGTTTTCCTTCAGTGTTCCAGAAACACACAAGTTCCATGTTTGGATGAGTAACTAGATTTGAATTCAGGACATGCTGCTTTTCCCCAAGTTGCTAGTCCCAAGAGCCCTGTCCACCATACCTCGAGGTACAAGTGCCATTGTATTAGCTCCATCTCTTCTTGGTGGTATCAAAGGAAAAGCTTCTATTCTGGTGAAGGGAGCTGAGTTGCAGCCTTGACAAGTGGCACTGAAGTGTGGCCAGTTAGAAACAGGCCACTTGCGTGATGCATCCTCTGGCTTCCCTCCCTTACCATTAGCCTCTCTAATGATGGGTTTGGGTCTCACTAGCACAGGTTTATGTGATTCTTGAAGATAAGCCACAAGTGAAAAGAAAAGCCATGGGCTCCCCACAAAGAAACCAACAGGAATGCTCTATTATTTGCATTATTTATCTAGATGTCTTATTCCATCTTCTTTCAAAGAGATTTGAGATGAACAACACTAAAGAACAACTAAAATAAGACCAGATAAATGAAAACCATTCTTGCAACACAAAGGAATAGTTACCCACAGCACAAATGAGTTATAATCTATGATATAAGAAAACCATTTCTAAACCTCCTACTAAGTGAGGGTTGCAAGCCAGCACATGCCTATTCAGTCAAACACAACACTTCACTCCTTTTGGTAGATAATGATAGACTTGAAGTTTGAGTTATATAAGGGTTAGCAACTACCTACAACTTCCCTACCAGGTAGTAAGGAAACTGAGTGTCACAACAAATTCTGATTCTTGACTACATTTTTATTAGAAAACAAGCACCCAAGAAACCCATGTTCAAAACAATCTTTAGGTTTGAGGTTTTATTTTAATTTTTCTAATCACCATCTTGCATATCTAAAAGAACTAACTTACAAAATGCAACAGGCAGGCCTTTAGAACAGACAGCAGACCAAGTCCACAGCTGGACACAGGACATTTACAATTTCGTCCACATCATGAATTCCTGAGAGGTGCTAGATTCATGCAAAGGGAGAGGTACACCTTTAACATATATTTTATCAACATGCGTTCCTTGAATTGTTTCCATTTTACCACTGAGAACGCGTTTTGAGCATCTATCATGCCAGTTAACAAGTCTCTAGTTTTTCCCACTTAAAAAAATTCCTATCTGAAGTACATTATGTTAAATAACCAAACATGGTAGTAGTTATCTCCAGAGTATAGCTTCCCTGTTAGAACTCCAACTGACCACCCTACAGAAATGCAAGAATTACATCATGCTGGATAGTCTAGAGTAAATGGCAGATATCATAACAATGAGGCAAAAAATGAAACAGATTTGTAGCTATTTGAGACAAGAAAATAAGAAGTAGGGATATTAGTATGAAAATAGAAACTTTTCCTGGAACTTGACATGAGGTTAAATTTATCACTAAAGTCTTTTTAGGAAAGGAAATGGGCACTGTTGTAGACAACTTCTTTAAGATAAAGTTTTGAAAGATATGAACATGTTTTGCACCTAGATGATTCATAAGCTTTCATAGAAATTGAAGAAAATGAAATCTTACTTCAATGTAAAGGCTAAGATCAAAGGACCAGTTTGTATCCATTTCTGAAAAAAATCTTAGAAAACCAAAAAACCCTGAGAGTCAGTTGTGGCTTAGACAATGACTCAATCAGCAGACATCTAGAGCCAGTCTCTGAAAGTCTGGAGGCAGAGTTGGTTTCTGGTTGAAATCTAAGATTTTAACCTCAAATTACTGATATCCTGAGCTGTTGCTTGGAGAATGCTTCACATCATTGTGCTCCAAGCACTGTTCTTTGTAGAATAAGAGGATTAGCAGCAGTATCAGGGTCTTAATTATGATGGAAAGAGGCAGATGGGTCATCCCACGAAAGGGCTCAGCTAAAGCCACTCATATGATCTGATTCAAGGAACATGAAAAGCAATCACTTTCCCAATAATAAACATCTCTACATCCCTCAATTGAAGCTATGTGACCATGATTCACTTTGGTTAGGCATTGGGTCTCCAAAAGTAAGCCAGACTTAATTAAAACATAAATATCTACTTGTGAGGAAAGCCACTCACTGACTCTATCCTACCCCTTAGCACTAGCATGGAGAGTCACTTAGTAAGTCAATAGGAGATGCCCTGGAAGGAGATATGAAGGCTTTGCATAGCATTGTAGTAAGAGAAGAGTTTTCCATGTAGCCAAAAGTAAGTTTGAGAAACTGGGGCTTTTCCCAGGACATATCTGTCCAGGTAGATGTGAGATGAAAAGGGAAATGGGAAGGTGGAGGAAGAGGATCTCAGGATCAGGCAGTGAAAGGAGAAAGAGTATTGAGACAAGCTATGATAAGCAGTGTGCTGGGAAGACAAGGGCTAAGGAAAGACAGTCTTCAAGGAGTGGGGGGACTAGAGGAGGATTAGGAGGAAGAATGAAAGGACTTGATGCAGTTATTCTCGGAAGCAAACAGGAAGCCAAATTAAGACTGCACACCGTAACCAGATGGCGCCATGTATTCTATGCTCCTGACTGCAGAAGCCTGACCCAGCTTAGAAGTGGCCAGTTACAGGATTCTGATGTAGTGTCTGGTACAGCTAAAAGGGACGAATCATATTACCCCCAAGACAAAAGGACCAATAGTGGAAGCCTAGGTATCTCCTCACTTCAATGTTAAGAACACGCCAACACTACTTTTAGGCTAGGTCCACCTGCTTTTTTTTTTTTTCTTTGACTGCTGAATAAGTCTTAAAAGCAGCTCCCCAGTGGAGATTTCTGTAAGGAGAACAAAACACAAATAGGTGAGGTGTAACTTTTAATCACTGTGAAAAAACAAAACTGGGCAAAATAAAATAAAGATGAACAAAACATAAAGTCAAAGAATACCCAGGCACCTACATTACCTTACTACCCCCGTCCATCTGATTTGCCTCAAAACTACCACCCCTATAATTCTTTGTGCCTCACACTACATAATAGCTCAAAGTCATTAGCTTTCAAATTTTTCTGTATTGTGTATTCATACCTATTTAGCTGCACTACTAAAGTTCAAATAAAATCAACATCATGCTTATCTGCCTTCAAAACACACATTGCTTTCCTACTGGGGAGTTAAGCAATTTAAGGTTTCCTGCCTGGTTCTTAGTCAAAAAGTCAGTGTCTGATCATTTGTGAGCCTTTTCACAGGACTGAGCCCAGGGAAAGAGACTATGAGGCCATACAGGTTCTGCTCGTCCTCCTCCAGCACAAGGTTTCACAGCAATGTATAATATCAAACTGTTGAATTTATTATTTCTTTGGGTTTTGTTTTCACAAACGAAAGGATTTGTGAGTCTACAACTATTGTTTCCTTTTTTATTCCTGTGATTCTCTTTAAATCTGTATATATCTCTCACACCACTACTGATTTTGTGATGTCTTCTTGTCTCTCAGAAATGTTAAGCTGAGTTGCTTTTCAAACAAATACATAGTTCATATTTTTTCCATATAATTTCTTTTTCACAGGAAATTGTTCTTATCAATAAAGTTAAAAACATTTTGGTGTAGTGTTTACCGTATCTGGAGAGCCATAAGCAGTAAATACATAGTATATCAATGCCCAGAGTAGAATAGTTAGAGTATTTTGATGAAATCCTATTTTTAGATTATAAATTTCAAGATGAGTCTATAGTATCTTGTTTAAAAATATTTAAAAAAACAATTGAGACTTAAATATAGTAGGCATTTTTAATTTAGGGAAACTTAGATACTTGTTTTTTAAGAAGCCATTCTAATGAAACAATCTAATTGGCCAAAAATAAAATAAATATCACTTTCTAACAGTGACCAAAGGGATGTTGGAAAAAAGTCTACCTTTTTACGTACTGCCATTTTATTGCTACAGCCACCTCTTTTAGCACTCAGCAAAACTGATGTACCTTTGCTGGTTTCTCCATCACCATTCTCTAATACAGCTTGCAGAGTCCATAGTCTAGTCCAGGATTAGGAAATCCGCTGTCCTACACATGTTGAAGCGATATCCCCACTTTGAGTTTCTGCAGAGTTCACGGTTGGAGTGGAGAATTAAAAGCTCTGTGCTACAGGAAAGGTCCGTGAAGTAGCTCCGAGCTGGACAAACCCACCCAGCCCCTGAGGTTCTTCCTGCAGGAAGTTTGTGTCTCGCACAGGCAGAGCAGAAATAACACCTCTGAGGGATAGTGTGGGGCTGATGGGGAGAGAACCCTGAGGAGGAGGACGCAGAGATGGAGAGGCCAGAGCACTTGTCACTGTCCTTGGTCCTGACTCACTGCTGAACTTTAGAGTGCAGCCGTTTCTGGGTACTCTGGGATATGGGCGGGCGCCTCTAAATTTCTTTCATAAATTCCAAATCAGAAAGAGCAAAAGATGGCGGGAAGAAGCAGAAACAAAGAGACAATCAGTGTAGACTACCAGAGATACAGCCATGGAGAACAATTAGAGCTTTGTTCCCTCGCGGTTTCTCCCACCTCTCAGCTCTGGAGCAGTGACCATCGCCACCACCCTTTGCTCATTTTTCCACCAATTCTACCTCTTTGGATTCCTTTCTCAGCTGTTTCTCTCCCTTGCCTCCCTCTTACCCTTCTTATTGTCTGCTCTTCCCTAGCCCTGAATTTTTGCCCCTTTTGTTTCGATTTCCTGGTGTAACAGAGAAGAATGAAGTCTCAGATGTGCATCTGCCCCTGAGCTGATCAAAGCAGCAGGTTGGTGCTCAAGGTGAGGATGCCCCTGAGTGTTCCTGTGACACCTTGACTACAGGGATTTATGATGGTCTTTTTGGACTTGAAATATTTCCATTCAATCTGACCTCCCACCAGAAAGAACACAGATGACACATTTCTAGAAATTTAGACCAAACAATATCTTCCCTGCAGGGAAATGTGTGCTGTACAAACTCTGGTGAAGGAAGTACCTTATTTCCCAACTCATCATTTTGAATTCAAAGTTGGAGAGATGAAGTACTTTTTAAAAATAAATATAAAATTTTCTGGATTCTATTGCCTCTTTTCATAAGGCACTAGATTTCTATCACTCTGCAGTACATGCACAAGTAAAAATGAACTCTTTCCCAGCAATGCCCAGTTAATTTTCAGCATTTTTAAGCAAAATGAACTTAATAAATAGTAATTCTTAATTGAAGGTATGTACATAAAAAGCATGATTGAATGGCAATATTGTACCAATGGATGTACATTTGTAATATTTGTAAAAAAAAAAACACAAAACCTTAAAATATGAATTTACATATGTTAATTTGCCTCTAAGTTCTGTAAATTGCACTTCAGTGATATCTGATAAGTGAATGTTTCTGTTAAGTGAATAAAAATATCAAGTAAAATTGTTCTTTCCTGGATTGTTGAGCTTTTTTGATTGAGTAGAATTCCAGATGTCTCTGGAATCCTATAATGTGTGGGTTTAATTACAGCCAGAGGAGGGTCTACTCATTCCAGAGAAATGGCATATTCAGCTCTAAAACATTTTTCCCTTTATAATAGTTATGTTAATGAAAGGTGCCAGAACAACTCTTACTAGCCCAGATGTTGCCCTTTTAAATTCAATGTAAATGAACTAGTTAAAATATCATAGAACTAGAAATGAAAAGACTTACCTTCTAGCCTTGAATCAGCATCTTATTAACTGTATAAAATGAATCATTTTATGCATGACTTTGCACCTTCATTTCCTGTCAAGTGTGGGAAACAAGACATTCTACAATTTCACAGGATTGTCAAAGGGAATCAGTGAAGTCAAAATGTTACAAAGCTTTGAAAAGTTAAAGCATTATAAATATTTAATATGTTCTGAGTTTTTCACCCAAATTTGCCATCTATAACATATGAAGTATAAGTGCAGGTGATAATTTTCCTGTAGAACACTAAACCAGACGGATATTAAGGTATAAGAAAAACTTAAAACTATCACTTAAAGATGCTTATAATCTAAGTTCTATATAACACTGCATGCCCTAAATATTCCAGAGTTTAGTTGAGCATTTTCCCAATAATACATTTTGCTCCTTTCCAGGGACATAAGTTTGAAGACAAATACGTCCAGAAGGGGACCTAAGTTTGCTAGCTAAAGGGACTCCTATTTTCATTTTTCTCCCTAGGAACAGAAAAAATTATAAAAATGCTGATAATAGGTTTTGTATGCTATCACTTGAGTGATCATGGGTAAGATTTCTTGTTTGAAAATATTTCCCTCATTCATCAAAGTGTCTGAAATTCTACCATACTTTCCCTTCAGTACAGGGTATTTCTTCCATTTTTTAAATCTATACTTGTCTCACATTAACCACAGTGATGCTTAACACAAGTGAGAGTACACATGAAGTCTCAGGCAAAAGGTAGAGTTTGAGAGCTGGGGATTTGGTTCCGGAGCCTGCCTTGCAAGCGCAAGGTCCCGAGTTCAATCCCCAGTACAAAAAAAAAACAAAAGGTAGAGTTTGGAGATCTAAAATATCCCAGAAACATTTTGATGCCTTTGCTTCTTCTTCAAATGGGGGAGCATTTCCTCTTGGTTTAGTATCAGTGTTGTAAAGAGCTTATCTTTTTTTAAGTCTAATAGTAAGTTACCCCTTCTTGAGGTAATAATAAAGGGCCATGGTTATTAGTAAGAAATAAAGGAGACCTGGAAGTGGAAACAAGGTACAAGACAATTCTCAAATGCATCTGGGATCTGATATGCCTCAGAAGTCATCATCCAAATCATCAAGCTCTGAAAATAGAAGATTCTGGTGGCAGGGATTATTTACTGGACAAAGGAGAGAAAGGTCTCCAGACTATTCTTTTTGTGACTTCCCATAAATGTTCTCAGGACTACTCAACATCTGCTGTCACTCACAGAGGACTACCTCCTATCAGAAAAAAAAAAATACAGCATACTTGGAAATGAGAGGTCTGATTCTCAGTAACCTCTTTAAACTTAATGGTTGTGTAGACCCAAATCATTCTTCCAGCCAGTCAAGTCCCTGCCTGTCCTAGCCTGGAGTACAAGTTCATTTCTTGTGGCACTTTTCTTTCTTCTTCAGAATGCTTTTTAAAGCATGAAACATGAATTTTATGATATATTACTTAGTAAAAGGTTTCAGCTAAGTGCATGTTCCCAGGGAAAGTAACTGGAATCTACTCTGATCCTTAAATTTTGATAGGTGTTCAGGAGGGCTGAAGGACAAAATGGCCATGGCAGTGGTTTTTTTAAGCTCTAAGATTGATCACACCCTTGTCCACTTTGGAGCTATTAAATCAGGTTCGCTTAGTCTGCTTTAACTTGATGACAGAAATACACTCTTCCAAGTGAATTTCAGAAAATCCCTACCCTTAAAGGGCCAGCTTTATAAAAAGGTCTTTTTAACAACAAAGATAAAACGTGAATAAAACCACAAATAATAATGATGGTCACACAATGTGACCTTCCCCAAAGCTGTTACACTCGATCCCCTAGCCTTCCAGAATTATAAATTACTTGACTAAACCTAAAACTGGGCTTGCTAAGAACTTCAGTATTTTAAGTACTCCTAATTTGCTCAGATCTTATAGTTGCTCCCGAAAATTTTTGACTAATGTCCTGCACTCACTTTTGGGGGAGAACTTTAATGAACTCTCCAAAAATGGATGATTTGGTAATGAAAACCTGATGTCCTTCAGAATCAGAAGGCTGGATTTCCAACTCTTGCTCTATTATCAATAAATTGTGACCTTGGGCAGGTAATGTTACTTGTTCTTTCAGGGACTTCAAATAGAAAATGGAGTAATGCCCTGCAGAGCTATGGTACAATAAAATCAGATAAAGTTGAGGCTCTCTTACACCGAAAGATGCTACTTTTCTTTAGAGGTGTGGAGCACATTTGGCAGGTGACTCAAGTGAATGAGCTGCTTCTAAGAATAACTCCACTCAAAGACACCAGGATTTTGATGACAGCAATATACCTTCCCAGGGTTAGGAAGTATTGGGGAGTGGAAGAAGGAATTGCATCCATGCAGGGTAATAAGCTGTCCTCAAAAACAAGGTGATGCAGAGCCGGGTGTGGTGGTGCATGCCTGTAACCCCAGCATTCAAGAGGTTGAGGCAGGAGGATCATTGTGAGTTTGAGGTCAGCCTAGACTACTTAGTGAGACTCTGTCTCAAAAAATAAAATAGAACAAGGTGATGCAATTGTTATAGAGCCTAAAAGAAAAGAGTCATGGCTACCAAGACGACAATGCCTGGTGCCTATTGAAGGCCTTTAGATAGATCCTCTGTAGACCGACTGATGATCACAACTATGACCCTCTTCAGCTGGAAGTAGCCAGACTGATCTTTGCCCTTTGCCCCCTCACAGCAGTTAGGGGTACTTCATCAGAGGGGGGAATATTGTAGATAGTAAGTTAATTAGATATCTTACAGGCAGTTAGACAGGGCCTCCTTTAAGGTGCCAGCCTCCCAGGAGCCAACATGGAGAGCATTTGAGGCACACTCACTGGTTAGCATTATAAAAAGAAGAGGCACAACTTCCCCTAGAAATAGATAGCAGTGATTGGTATTC